CTAAGGCATTCAGCATTACTTTTCGGAAAGTTCTGCTCTACCGTGTCACAGGAGAAAACTACTCAAACTTGGAAGACACATACCTAAGTTATTTCTTATGTTACAAACAGATCAGCACACTGAGTTTCACAAGCAGTTTATTACTTACTTTTGTTTCAATAATTTACACTATAGAATTATGATAGGGGAAGTGACTTGTTTGACTTCTGTTCTCAGATGTCTCAATATGGCTTTGCATCTCTCAACAAGTTACCAGAAGTTTCCTACTCATTACACAAAGGAGATACAGAGTAGGCAAGGTGGAAGCTCTAGAACTAAACACACAAATACAAGTTGCTACTACCTAAGCTTTATTGCCTAAAAACAAACAAAAATACGAAGCACCAAATTAGACATCTTAATCTCTGGTACTTTTGGATGCCCAAAAGGCAAGAAGGGAGCCCTGGATTGATAGCTGCTTTGCTAAATTCCTCCTGTGGCAGGACTCTGCCATCAAAAACAGACTGGTACACAGTCTCAGAAGTACAACCTGAAGCTCAATCACTATTTGGGGATTTTTTTCATGAGACAACTTCACTTGCAATAGGTCTTCCCATACAGGTCAGTCAATATTTTTATTTTTAAAGCACATATAGACAATTTGATCATCCTCCAACAACAGCTGCCCCCAAGACAGTCACAATAGTCTGTACATGCACAAATTCCTTTTAATTCCTTTGTGCATTTCCAGCAGTATAGTTCTCAATTGCTGAGAAGCTGTAACCAGGTATGTTAGGTAAACAGCTCCAAAATGAATGGAACATGCCTCATCCCCTCTCCTTTTTATACTAGAACAGTTCTGGGAGCTGCTTATATCCTGCTTCAGTTTGATAGAGAAAAGCTGGAAATAATCTTGCCACTGAAAAAAAAGTTAAGCAAGGCTGCTGTAGAGGGACCTGCTGTAACATTAAGCTAAGATGATCTGCCCTGAACTAGTAACACTTCATATCATCACAAAAAGAGCGCTATGTCGCATTTAGCATTACAGAAAAAAAACTGGCCCTTGTGATTTGGCAGAAGTACAAGGCTAACTCCTCTTGAAAATCTGAGTTCTCTCAAAACTCAAAGCCTTGAGAATTCACAGAAATATTCCTACACGTTTTTTAATAATCATAAATCAGACTTTCTCCTATACCTGGGTGAAGAGCTTTCTCATTTCTAACTGGACCTATTCCAACCTTGTTTACCCTACAATTAGAAGTAATGTTTTTCTGTAAATTACATTTTTAACCATGCAAATTTCATCCTAAAGGGTAGTAGGATAGTGCTAGTCTGAATGGTTTGTTTACTCATTTTTTTAGTGAAAAATAAGTCAGCTTTATGCCTGTATGGCTTTCCAGACTGCTTCATGATAAAGTAGCTACTTAGACCCTATGATTTTGCCATTAGAACAGGTTTTGTTTTGACATTCAAGAGCTGCTCCAACAACTCGATGAAGTTGGCAGCAGGTCCAGTCGTCTTCTCTTAGGTCTGCAATTTTTCCATTTGGCTCCAACGCAGCTTCTTAAAGTAAAAAGCAAGAGTTACACATAAGCAGTCAGAAGAATAGATTAGAACACGTCGCTACACAGACATTACAGTGAAATTCAAGCTCGCTCCCACTGTGATTAAAATCATCAGGATTAAGATTTAACAAAATATTTTCTGCGTGTCAAGCAACAGATACCTGTAAAGAGAGTCAACTCTCACCTCTACCCATTTTAGCCACAGAAGACTCTTAACCTTCATATATAGACTGGATCCTAGCACTTAAGAGTGATCCATCACTCTTAAGTTTTAAGTTTTAACTTTTAACTTTAAGTTTTAGAAACTTAAAAACAAACAGAAAGTCAGCCTAATAGCAGTCATAAGTGAAATGAGAAACAGTACAGGGCAATGCACAAGAAAAATGGAAGATGGTCACCAGCATTTTAGAATGCAGTATTTCATATTTGCCTCAGCAAGGAATCAGGTTCATAACAGATTATTTGTACATAACTGACAGCTCACAATCTTCTAGCTCTGAAAGCAGTACTCCACCAGCTATGTCATTCTGGAAGAGGTCCAGACTTAATATAGCAAAACTAGGAGCTCAGACCAGTATAATATTCACTGCCTGCAACGTTTTAGAAGTTTTAGGGATTCTTTTGGAGTAGCTGAAGATCGGGCTTTTTAAGTTTTTTTTTCTTTTTTTTTTTTAATTACTCAACAAGATAGCTGAAGATTATCAAGTCTATTAGCAGTTTCAGCAAGAAGTTAATAATTACTTCAACTCTGGAGATTTTACATAGGCACCTGTAAAAAAGTATCGAGTCTTCTAGACAAAACTATCACTTTCACCTTTGGTTTGTTTCAAGTACAGCAGACTACAGCCAGCATCACAACTAGCACCACCAGAGCCCTGCTCTACTTTGATTTCCTCTTTGATTCTTCATTCATCATGTTACTTAGTCAGACAAAAAGGCCATTTCTAGTACTAAAAACTAGAATAATCAATTCAAATGTTTTCTAACTCCTCAAACAAGCCATTTATGCTAACCTTTGAGTGCTCTCTCAACAGGTACTACTGTTATGAACAGAAATATCAATATGCACTTATAGTAACACCATCTTTGCTTTAATTTACTTTCATTAAAAAGTGTTCCTCTGTATATGTTCGCCTTACAATTTGCAAGGCAAAAAAGAAAACACTATCTTTCTGAACCAACAAAGAGCTTGCTGTTTCATTAGGTGCATAAAGATTTCATGTTTAGAATTAAGATGTTCAAACTTCGAGTATCATCTGTTGTGTTGAACTCTATTGATACTGTTGTGCCAGCAACAAAATGAACAGTAGAGCAGTGGTCTCATAACTACAGTACAAACGAGTCATGAATGTTTTTGTTGCTTCTTAGACTGCAAATGCAAAGAATCCCTACAGAAAATCCTGATGTTTACACTTGACCCACATACACAAAGGAAATCTTGTCCACCAGGTCTTCTACCTTAACTTTGTGTTTTCTAGGCTTCAACTTAAGGAGTTCACACTTAAAAGAATACAACCTAGCAAAAAAAAGGTAGTTGCCCAATTCGCACAGGTCAAGAACTGGAGACCACTATTTAGCATCCGATATATACAAGATCCTTTTAAAAATAAGATTTTAAAAGAAGATTTACACTTAAAAATAAGATACACATTTGCAAAGGTTCCAACGTTGATTTGATTCTTTTTCTAACAGATTTTGTACAATTACACTTTCTAGCATGTTTTAACACTGCCTTTCAGGCAAACTAGTCCCTGGGACATGTGATGCTATCAAAAAAGTTGGGAGATCTTCATCATAAAGATGTTCTGTGACTATTAGGATATAAGACCTTAAGCATGTAAATACTTACAGCTAGCGTTCAATTTAGCTATATGTTCCATCCACTAAGCTTTTTTTTTTTTTTAAAGCTACACTCACAACTTCACAACATGAAGTATACTGACTGAAACACCCCAGGAAAAGGTGAGCTCAGTTCACAGGATGTGAACATCCTACCACCAGTATCACGGAAGTATCACAGAACTATCTTTTTAGCAAAATCATTAGGCTTATTCTTTACAGAGAGAGAATAAGAAAAGTGAAAACTTGGTCAAAGGGAAGATTTCAGAAAAGGTTTGAAATGCAGTTTTTGTCTGTCAGCTTCTGCACTCCCTTCTCTTTATGACACCAATCTAAGAAGTCTTGTTAGCTAAAAACAATCCAACACACACCACATTTGATTTAGGGCACCTGGAAGCATTAGCTTTCAGAGCTTGATAGCAGTGTCCACATTTCCTAAAGCTGTCAGTCCTGGCTGTGAGAGCACCGGCTAGACAAAAATAGCATACACTGGAAACATGGCGGCTTGCTGCAAATGCTGCTTTCAACCAATTGTGAAAACAAAAAAAACCACCACTTTCTTTGTAAAGAATACCTACTATATGTATGCAACTCTTAACATAAAGGGTCACCAGGTAAGCCCATCAAGAATTAGTAACACATTAGATCATCCAGATCAAGACTAAAATGTACCTGAAAAATGTATGGAAGCATTTTCTCTGGTTTTCCTCCAGCAAGTATATCTAGGGCCTTACAAGAGGCTGGAAAGTCTTCATACAAGCACTACTTCGCATTTAAATCTTGGCTTAACCTCGGATCCAGCCAAGGTCATGCGGTAAGTCAGGGTAAGATACATGCTCTCCTTCTGCTCGAATTATGACTCCCTTCATCTAAAAAGTTAGAGCAAGGGAGACACCTACGATCTGATACACCGGTACGGACGACCTCGCTATGTAAGCGCCCAGTATTACTGCCTCAATCTACAGCTACAACTAACTGCTGAAAGGGGCTATCTCAGCTACGTGCCAGGCTTTGGGTCGTCTCACACCTAACCCTCACCCCCCTCAAAAAAAAAAAAAAAACAACCCACAAAAAAAACCCAGCAAATGAAAAAACCCCAGAGCCTGTAAAGCCGAGAACAAAGCTCGCAGCTCCACATACCGACTCGCACAATGAAGGCCCGTGAAGAGCCGATCCCCACGCACACAAATAACGCTCCCTTCTAAATAACTGCTCGCCGAGCAGCGCACCGCTGCGCCCCGCTCCCGCCTCGGAAGCCTCCGAGGGCGCCGCGGGACCAGGCGGTTCCTCCCGCGCGAGGTCCCCGCTCCAGAGCCCCACAGGGGGCTGCGAAAGCCCGTCCACGGGCTCGGACGGGAG